AGCGTATACAAACCTCCACAATAAAATTTCCGTACCAAGAAAAGGCAGAAGGCACAAAAAGCAGTATTTCTTTATACAGTCCTTCCCTCTCACCGCAGTGTGTCCTTTACAGACTTGCACTGTATCGTCGGACATTTAAAGGTCGCACTCTGGGCGGCCAAGATGAAGCGAAAATTTTATCTACCTTCCCGTCTGAGCCACTCATTTTTCAGCGCACTCCTTCGTAAAGGAATTGGCAAGCTGTAGTTTCGCAATGCACTCACGCTTACTTCCGCCCTGGGACAATTCATCGCCAGCCCATGTTGTCATTGCTGGCCTAGTAAAATACAACGCCCTTAACATGCACAAAATGACTCGGGTTTGAGTACAGGTCGTGCAGCCCGCGATGTCCAGTCGTTCGTTGATTGTGTCGATCTACTGTTGATTGAACTGGTGGGCTGACGGCTTTCGACCTGTCGTATTTCAGTCCGTAGCCCTCACGCGACCTGAGGTCCTGGCGCTCGTCTATGCTCGTTTCTTGTGAGTACACTGTAATAAACCACGACGTCGAGCTACTTGAGTAGTACCTTTCAAGACGGTCGTATCGGCGGACTCATTGTAGAATAAACGCGCTCGTGACTTCTTCGATTGTAGTTACTGTTAAATGCTTCGGACTAGAAGCAGAAAATGTAGAGTGGGGGGTTGGGAGCAATGCAACAGCTCTAACACTGGTTTTACAAAGCTTGGAGAACAACTCGGAGTCCATGATACTCAACTCCGCTCTGCCCTTGTTCAGTGCTCTAAAGTTCGCGAAATTCGCACAGGAAGCCACGTCAATATAAATAGCCGTGGGGTTAGGAGCAGTACAAAGCACAAACACAAACAACAATAACAACAAGAGGGGCAAATACAGTGACAGATTTAGGTCCTATAACAACACAGAAAAGAAAAAATAACTCAAGTAGAAAAGCCATCGCATTTTTAGCCGTTTTAAGAATGAAAAAGGGGCTGGCTGTACATTTACTGTGAGAACGGGGGTTGCCCGTACACTCAGAGCCATCCATGACAGCACTAAGCTTGCACACTAACTGGCTTATAGAAGACTGGTCGTATCGATTGACTTGTAGTGCCTACCCTCTTTCAATGAGTACTATCGCTATTATCTACACAAAAGAGACGTCTAAAGAAAAAGAGCTAGGGTAAGCAAAAGAAGCCGGTGTTTGCTGTTTGCTTTGAACTCTGGCTGACAGTGAGCAGGGGACGCGATCGATGTTGATCGTAACTATTACAGATCGAAGTGAATATCACTAAACGAGCGTGACTAGTGAATCTATAAGCAGTCGAAGTAGATGAGTTAAACCTAATGTTACGCGTTTTTCAACTTCTCTTTATTCCTGTTCTCGTTTAAGGCACACTCAATTTGACCATATTTAAACGGCACGGAAAACAGAGATGTAAGGTGGCGCAAGCCACTTCAGTGAGGGTCCTCACTCGAGTGAGCAGAGACGCTTTGTTGGCGATCTGCTATTGACTAAACGCTCTGTTTGATTAAGCGTTCCCATCGTGTTCACGATCATGAAGTAGCAATACTAGGAACGCAGCCAATGTTGATTTTGTTCAGATTGATATTGTACGCCATAGCTGTGTTCAGTATTTCCGTGCATATCGACAAAAATCATGCGACCAGAAAGCATGCCTCACTGGCCACAGAACGTGTTCACACTTTAACAAACTGCATGCATATACTGCAGCTGCACAAAAACGTCCTGTTACCCGTCATGCAATGGAAGTGCTTGGTGTCCTTCAAGCGGGCGCGATAGAGAGCGTCCTTGATGAATAAAAGGAGAGCCCTTTACTACATTCAAACAGGTAGGCCCTCCAAAATGTCACTCGGAGTCCGGACAAATTTCGGCTTGTATTGGGCAGGAAAGATGGTAATTCGGCGGAACATGTTATCGAGCTCAGAAGATAACCACCACGCCACGGACTAGCCCTGCCTATAACGTCCCAATGGCGCTACTGCAGTATTTGGTCGAAAACTACTTCGTGCACTAGATTTAGACTCCGGGAAAAATTGAGCAATCGGCGCCATCTCTCTTCAGGGCCTTTCTCCGACATTTCTTATGTCGCGTGAATCAGTTTGCACGATGTGGATTTTTTAGACAGTCGATAATAGGCATTTTTCCAATATTGTTTTTTGTGAAAAAGATCATCATGTCCGTCTTGAACAGAATCTCACATGGTAACCGTTGCATAGACAAGCCAATGCATACAGGCATTTCAACCTATTATCCCAGTGAGCTCTTTCTGTAAAAGAAATACGGATACTATTGCTTTTAGTTATATAGGTCTTTCGATGACAATAAAACATTTTTTTGATTGCAACGGAGCTGAGTGGGCGTTTATTATAGTACCATACAGTTCTCAGTCAGTCCTTGACGGCACTAGCCAGTTTGGCTGTCCCGATACGTTGGCATTCGCTGCATCTGAGTCTCCGTTGGACAACTGTTTTTTTGTTGTAAAGTTGAGCCGATTTTTGGCGTTGCGTTCGCACTGACAACAGAGGTTACGATCCCGGTATGGGAAATTCTACAACTGCCCATATAGGAGACCTCTGAGCAGGAGCTGGACCGACTTTTATAAGGCGCTTCAAGCTATCAACATTAAGCACGAATCGATAATCAATTATATTAATGGGATAATTATATTAATGGGAGGCGACGAGGCAAGAAATCCTTCACTTGATCCGATGAGTGCGTCCTCTCATCTGACTGGTCGCTCGTGGGATAGGTCCTATTAGCAACGAGAAATATTCAGACCACACTCAAGATACTGCCTTACATATTTTAGTATAACCCTATTCAAGTCTACAAACGCTTTAGAAGTTCCGTATAACAACGAGTTTGGATAACAACGATGGATTGTCAGAACAAAAAAAAACATACATAAATGTATCAACACTTAAAGAATAAACAATAACGATGCACCTGCACGAATATGATTAGGTACTTTTGCCGATTTAGCCATAGAACAAACAACTGTAAATGGCAAAAATATTTGTTAGTTTAATTCAGTTGTGGCCCACGCGAGCAGCTCATTCAAATCGTAATTAAATTAAAATAAAATAAACCGTAGATACCATGCAGGTGAATTAAAATCGACGATTCCTTGTTTAAATTAAACAATGCAAACCTGCAGGTCGTAAAAAAGATTTTAAACAGGCTATCCATATCGCACTGCCAGAGCGTTTTTAAAAGGCGTTCGAAACACAGATGAAAAAAAAATATATATATAACTGGAAGTTTCTGATTAAAGGAATCGCCATGTTGATTTCAGCTGATGACATGTAGTACACAACACGTATGGGTATATGCATATATAAATACATGTATCGGCAAGCTTGCATCGCTACAAAATATGGTAGTCGCTAAATGTGCATTACATGATACCAAAACGTAACACTTCTGTGAACTAGGATAAAAATTCGCCATTGATCTATATTACCGAAACATATAATAGTGATAGCAGGCGTAAGCAAATATGGATACTAAGTCGAACTGAGTAGTAAGTGTTCCTGTGGTGTAGTGGTTATCACATCCGCCTAACACGCGGAAGGTCCCAGGTTCGAGCCCTGGCAGGAACACGAAATACTTTAACATTTTTTCCCTAACAAATTTTTTCCCTATCATATTTGCAATGCGTCTTAAATGTCAACTTAAACCTTTCCTTTTTCCTCGCGTTCAGATTACTTCGCTTCGTATGACCTATATGATTGCTGGTTAGTGATATATGCTCATTCGCTGGCCCATGCTTTTTTTTACTATGTTCTTTGACTGTTATCGAATTGATTTCTATATTACTGAGAAGCTTACGATTGCTGTACGTCTTTTGGATTATATTACGTTAGCAATAATATAAAATAGTAGAATACTCTCGTAATATATAATCATGTAATAGATAAAAAAATAATGGATACCCACCTCTAGTGCACTTAAAATTCAGGGATATGGTACCAGAGATGCATCTATCAAGGCTCTTCGAATGGTTGACGTAATCAAAGTAATATAATCAGATGACTTGGGAAAGTTAGATCGATTTCCCATACCATATTGCTGGTTTGGAATTAAACAAGACATGTATTTGAATTGTCTATTCTATCGACTGTTTCAACCTTGACCTGATTCGCCTGTTGCCGGTACCTCCGCTAGAAATGTCTGTACGGGGTTCCTTTGTAGATCAGACGTTTTTAACAGCTAATAGAAGCAATTCTTCAGTCTACAAAGCAACCTAACGACAAGTCCTGTATTGCAACGTTCTTCTAAATTGTATAACTCTGCTTCCTACGCGATCGATAGTACCTACACACGCCCGTTCACACCGGCCGCCTTCTTCGTGTACAAAGAGTGACGGCGAACAGCGATGATATTCTTCCAATTTCAATAGAATATGATCTGTAATTGTTTTAATAATTGGCCTTTGTCTTACTTGCGGTATATTAGAAAAGGACGGAGAGCGTGCACAACCGAATAGATCTAAGCCTACAGAACTAGAAGTTGTTCAGCGAGCTTCCGCTATAGCGCCATGAAAGTCACATACTGATCATCTAGGCCAGAAGTACTAGCTCAGGTTATACGGTGCTGACCAGGTCCGCTGTATACTCCTTTATTATAATAACGACGAGTACGTGTATCTGCAAAGTTTACGTGTCGCGAGACAACCTCGAGCCCTGCGCGAACACACAGCCTTTTTTATTGCGTGAGTGACATGCGAATATACTGTCACAAGACTGTTATACAATTACTACTAATTAATTAAGGGGGTGACCACTCTTAAGCAAACGATGCTGCTCTATATCATCTACATGTTATGGCTATACTGATAGGTTCTGACTCTCTTGGCTAATATATGAGACCATTTATGTTCTCTGCATATTTATATTAAGTTTTGTTTATCTATAGGTAAATTTGATAGTTTCAAAAGGTGATAATACGATTTGGTAATATTTTCAAATAGTCACTGACCGATGTGGAAGTATTTCATTTTAATCTCTTATCGATTTCCTTTTCTCAGATGCCGCGAAACGAGCTGCGTAACGAGCAACAGGCCCACCCCTTTGCCTCACCTGCAGGTCCACCGTAACATGAGAGGTAGGTGCCGTTGTTAGAACGCTGGAACGTAAACATAAGAAAGACAGGCCTGTAATTGCATTACGCTGCAAGGGGGACCTCAAAACACGCTATTGAGTGAGTCGGCAGGCATCTTCCAGCTAAGTCCCATTATCTGTCGCAAACCATAAACGAATATACTATGAAAATTAATTTCTATTTATCTACAAGATAGAAAAACTGGGTCACTCACTTTCAGTGTAATATTGTGTCATCTTTTTAACTTACCTAAAAGTAAATTACTTTTTCAATCTCGTTCTGTTCAGTTTCAGATAATTTTTCTGACCTATTCCGACGATCTACAATGTCTCTTTTTGCTGTCCGGCCCGGTCCTTTTTTCCTTATTTTTCACTTCCTTGTTGCTGATACTGTCACTGCTGCTTTCGTAATTGAGTCATATGCATTGTTTCCTGCTGAGGTACGATCACTATATAAGCAAGAATCGAGCTGGGGCAGGCACGGGAACGACTTGGAGAAAACCGATACAACCAGTCTGAGCGATCATCATGCAATAACAGCAGGCCTCCGGCTCGTGACGTAGGCTATCGTGGTTTCTACCGATCTAAGTCTGCTGATGTATATGGTTATCAAGGGCTCCTGTGCATCACGGCAGTTTCACTTCACACAGTAACCACAACATAGCTCGGAAATCGAAGTGGCTCAAAAAATGGTCCTTACTGTATCAAATATAACAAATATCTTACTAGTCAAGCTAGAATCGTTATAACTACAGTTGCTGTTTCCGTACATATCAGGCAGAGTTGTTTTAGCTCCTAGCTCGTATCAGCTTAGAGTTTACTTGCTACCTTATTCTACCTCACGCTGCTAGTCATTACCAGCAGAGGTTTGCGAGAAAGTCGTCTTCAAGGCATCTTTATCCCATTGCGTGTCGTGTCGTGTCCTAAAAATAGATAAAGTGCGAGAGGTGAGCGGCGGACACTGAGGAACTGATGTCTAGGCAACGTGGGCATCTTAAGAAGAAAAACGGGCCCAAAGCAGGAATGGTCGTTGGCCATAGACCGCTTCTGGCCTGCTTGACTACGTTGGGTTTAAGGATAGGTGGACATGTGGGCGTACAGCTCGGTGTGGATCTGGCTCACAAAGCAATAGGATGTAGTTTAATGATGTGGTATAGCAGTCGCACAGCTATGAGTCATAGTGGAACGAATGCTTTACGTTGTCGAGGCCATGCACGGAGACCAGCTGTCCTTTTCTTGCCCATTAGTAAGATCGGGTTAGGACTGTTATTGTTGTCCTTTTTGCCGGTGTGTTCCGTAACGTGCTCCCAGTTGTTGTTATTTTTGTTATCGCTTGCATACTTTGGTGGACTGTTATATCGTTGTTATGGGTGTTGCTAGGTGCCGCCCGCTGCGTGGTTGGCTACATCAAGCTGGGTTTTCGGCGTGTGCCAGAGCACCCTGTGGGTTCCTGCGGTGTAAGGGGCGCCCATGAAAAACATCCGACCCGCCTAAGAGCGGCGGAGGCGGCGGCAAGACCTCGAGAGGGCCCAACATATAATAACGAGAAACAGGATAGACTAACGGTCGATAGTACGAATGATAGCATGACATGCCACAACTGACTAAATCTTATTTCATTAAGATGCCCGCTATTGGTGGAATAAACCTGAAACAGTGTTCATCAACTTGACCTGCATCAACAAATGGCCAAGACTAGCGGCACGATGGATTCGTGAAACAAACAAATTTCAATGAGAAAAATAATAGAATTGCGTTGTCAAAGCTAGTTTAATCAGTAAATTCATAGAAAAGTAAAACGTGTTCCATTCCTGCCCGCTACTGAGGTTGCGAACACCGTCTTTTGTGGAGGAAAAGTGTCTGCCCATTTTTTTTTGAGTTTACTATATATATCAGCTGCAGGATACTTCAGATGTAACACAGTTTTTGTTAATATGATTTTTTTTGTTTATCTTTGAAGCTCCTTTTAGTATTTGTGTGAGTATTAAAAAGGAGAATTATTGAATACATGTTTTCAACAATGTAAACCTGATGCCCACTCTACTATGCATAATTGATATACTATATTTATAAGTGGTTATTTATACAGTACCTTACGGATAGTGTCTTTTAAATAACTTGATTTTCTGTAAAATGCCGCCTCATCTATTCATATCTAAGGCAAAAAATACAATCATATGCCAATTCGTTAGCATTTATTATAGTACTATTTTTATTACTCTATTTACTATTATTATTATTATTATTATCGATGTTATTCTGTTTTATATTAGAGTTCTTTCGCGTTAATGATGCTCGTTACATCCAATTTATTAAGAAGAAGCTGTACTGGAATGCATTTGGGATACTGTCTTCATCGTTGCAATTGGTTATTATGTAAGCTCAGTTGAAACGTCTTAGAGAGATTTCTAGCTGCTACTTGTTAATTAATCGGGACACCTTTTCTCGGTCGGTTCGAAGCCTGAGGTCGTACTTCATCTTCACGAACAGCATCATCGGTGCTGTCGCTAACGAAACGAAAAAAATTTTCTCCCTGGTAGCGGACGCCATCGTTTGACCAAGCTCCGTCCTTGTGTTTGTTTCGATTTTGTTTTCGTCTACCACGACAAGGCTTTCCGTTGGCTCGGGAACAAGCAAAACGGAGGAGGACACAGCTATGTTTGAATGCTCATTAGGCTGGAGCAACCCGAATACCCGCTTGCCTGGATAGCCGTCAATGCAAATACAGAGTAGTGAAACTAGTTCTATACGGCGGCACCTGCTGATCACCCACGCATCTGGGTATTAAGTCTATCTGAACATATACGATGGTATCTGTACATGAGTCTGAGTTTGTGTTGCCCCACAGTCCACTTCCCGTTGCGGTGTAACTACTGCCAATTTCGGGCCTACTTCAAAACCATATATATATATATAATATGTAATTAGCCGCTAGTTCATCTAGTCCGATGCAGCTCTAGCTATGTTAAATTCCAATTAAATGAGGCAACCTAGGCCAAATTATTTCCCTAAGCCGAGCATTAAGAATCTATCGGACGAGACCAATGGTAGTGGCTGTGGTACCTAAGAATATAAACTGGGCGCTAAAATTTCGGTACAACGAATGACGAACTTCACAGCTTTCTAAAAAAAATTTTTTGAAGGCTTTGTCACCGGCTAAATCGAATTGTCCCCTGTTTTATGTAGTCGTACCTAATTAAATAAATGACTTGGATGCTCGATATTGGTTTAGTTACGCAATGTTTCAGACCTCAGCTCTCAGCTAATTCTATCGTTGAGCCCTTTACTTTGTACTGACAGCAGGAGCTTTCGCTTCATTTGACCTTCATCTAGCCCAGTGACTTGGTTATCGAGCAAAAAGAAAGAACTATAGGGTCCTAGTTGGCTTGGGTGGGACTGTTCGAACGTGCAATATGGTGCAGTCGTGTTCGTTCCATCTTACTATCTTTTATTGAGCTTTAGGCACCGCCTCGCGGACGCCACACGCAATGGGCTTCCTTCAAGCCCCTTCTCAGCCAGATCTTGCCGATCGCCTCCACCCATTTTTTTTTTACTAACTATTAAACTAAATTGATTATATTGGGTAATTTAAGAGCCCCATGGAGACGAATAATGAAATACCCTATTCTTGCAGATGAAACGGATACGTGGCCTTCCACTGCCTCAAATTCGAACTTTCTATAGACGGTATGCGGCCCCACCACTTAAACTCCATTTAAATCCAGGATCTTGCCTTGGTGAAATTTCCACAAGTGTCCACATACACAATGCACGCCCAAAAGATCGATGCTGCATGCCTGCATTCAAATTGCATACACCCTGACCCACTTGAGTGCAGTTAAGCTTGTCAGGTAAGCCGCTACACAAGCAGACTTTGCTGCCAATAAGCTGGGTGCGCTTTACTGAAGAAGTAGAGACAGTAGAGAAAATGTAGAGTGAAAACAAAAAAAAATCACCCAAAAATCAAGGTAGCCCAAAACGCAAAAATTATTCCCTTTGAAATTCGGACGATCGAAGAAACCAGTTAATGAACAAAGGACTCCACAGAATCTATGGGCTAGTCTGGCAGGTCTCTACTTCGTTTGACTTCTCGTCGTCTGGGCTCGTCTTCGTTCGCTCGACTTCAGCCTTCACTCGGTTCTCAGCAGGTGTCGTATTTCGTCTCATTAACTAGCCGAAATGATTGGCTGAGCCGACGTTCGTATTTCGTTTGAAATGGTCGTACTACTAGTTCATAGCTGCGACGGCCGGTTGTAGTTGTCGTTACGATCGTCTCTGTCCTGCTCGCTGGCCTGTGTCGTGCAGATTATTCGTAGGTAGGCCATCAATGTCTGCACCCTGTAAGGGTAAACTGACTAGCTGTTTTATCCTCACTCAAAAATTGTGTTCATTTAGCATCTACCACACCCCTCGGAGTCGAACAAAGAGAAAAATGAACGCTTAAGGTGGTTAAAAATCCAAAGCAACATTGTGTCGAAGTGTGAGGGTGAGCGGCGGGTAGAGAAAGCTTCGGAGCCGAATAAGACTAAAAGAAACATAAAGAAAGAAGCTGGGAATTTTCCTGGCGCCCACCACTCGGTGGGCGCCAGGTCTGCCATTAGCCCCAGCGGATTCGAATGGTTCACTAGGATAGGGACGACGCACAATACCTTTGCGTATCATCTTGGACTACACGGACGGTAGACAGTAAAGATATAGGCACATGTGTGTAGAGCGTAGGCTAGCAGCAAAAACACAAGACAGATTCTACCCTCATTTCATTTCACACCTAATTTACTGCTGGTGCGGCTGCCTACGTTGTCGGGTTGGTCAAATCAGCCTGAACGCACCCTTCAGAGGACAATCGATAGTGAAATTCTGAACGGCGGCGTATGCATGTTCTGCCGCCATTTTTCCTCTGATTAACAAAATTGTATGAACCAGCGCTTTCTTTTTTATCCTGTTCTAATACACAATGCGAATTGTGCTGTAGTCTTACCTCGAAAATCATCTCGCGATTACTCACTAACTATGGTCACTCAAACCGGATTATCTAATAACAGCAATAAATAGGATATTTTCGTCTTCGCCTCTCGGCTCACGACTCGCTATTTTGCGACCTGCCGTACGGCAGCGGGCACGAGACCGATACGATCGAGGCCGATCAATTTGGGCTACCGGCCAATGCCAGGCTAGATAATCGTCCACCAATAAAACACCATTCTGCAACTACCATTGATCTGTATCGACCGGCGACGGCGGTGCGCTATTTCAAAGTGCGTGGCCCAGCAAATACGAGTCTGGGGATCCGTTTAGATGAACACAGAACAGGCGGAAGAGCTGCACGCGATCGAGCGAAATTGTGCAAACGTTCGTAAGGCCATAACTGTTGAGGAAACAGGACCTAAACGTAAGATCGAACGTAGAGCACGGCAAACGACGGATGACTCGTCTTCGATCACTGTTAACGTCAAAATGTCCAACCTATCTCTCTGGGGCATTTGTAAAGTAACTCAATGCCGTGAATCCGACATGCAGAGTTATTGTTGGTGGGTATCTGTGCCGATCCTCTCGAGCACCACCATGTACACAAAAAAAAATGTTTCACCTCCGTATCGACTGAGACGGCAACGAACTTCTGTGACTTGACCAAGTGACTCTGTAAACGCGTATTTTTTATGGGGCAAAAACAGACGTGACTACAGATGTAACCGCTCATCAAGTTCCTTAGAGTGTAAAGGCGGTTTTCGGAATTTTTCGTTTTCTTTTGGCAAGACGTATATATACCGCTGGAGTATATACCCCTTGCTTGCCCCTGCTCATGTCAGGCTTTTTCTTTGAACTACAAATATGGCTAGATCGGTACCATGAAATAATTTTTCATATAAAAAAAACTGCATTCAAT